CCAAGTCCATTCATAAGTTATGCTCATGGAAAAGTAGAAACACGGCGTCGACCGGGGTTACAAAGAGAGCACTTTTCGGTACTTCATATCAAGCAATCGCATTTACAAGGTTGATCGAGGCAAAAGCACGCTTGTGAAAACTGAAATGAAAATGATTGGGATGGCTTGAATAGTCGCAGTACAATTGCTTTGATGCCGACAAAAGATTTCTTTGCAACCCTGATCAACCCGAATCAAAATTCAGCCCAATTCAACATGGTAAGCATGCCATCTCCCTCACGAATGTCTGATAAGAGCTTATCCGAAACGGATGCCTTAATCAGCTCCGGTTTCTCACTTTGTTCCATGCTAATAAATAGGAATGCCGGGCGTCGGCCGCCAGAAAACATTACACACTCCATGTTCGCCTTCGCAGTTGTTTGTACTCAACAAACAGAGGCAGAAGTAATGCGACTATAACCAGGGGCCTTGGAGTGTAAGCCTCTACACCCCCTTCCGCCAAGGCGCTGCGGTAGGCGGCATTTGTTGCAACGGTTAACGACTGATTAGAGGGTCATTGTGAAGTACTTGTTGCGTGATTGGATTGGGACCGATGCAGACTAATTTGAACAGTTGTCCCTCTGTGTGAGTACATCGAAGTCGCGTTCATGGGAATCGGACTGCAAGTTGTGAGCTCCAAGCTTACAAAAACGGGGGCGCGTCAGTGATGTAGCTACTGAACTGTTGGATGTGCTGTACTGATCAATTCGAAGCCCTACCGAAAGTGTTCTGGTCGTACAATCGCCGAAGCGCTCAGCACATCGCAACATAATCCGTAGGATATCTGGTACCATAATTCTATCTAGATGGTGCAGGCAAAAATTAGCATCAGACGAAATACTACTCTGTTTGATGCACGCTTAACAGTGAAATGGGTGTCAACCCATGTTTCGCAGTGGCAACGTCGAGATGCTCATACCAGCTACTGAGGCGTATTGGCAGTGTAATAATTGTAATACAAATATAGAGAAATACAAGCAGTTTTATTGTAGCATCGTAGTCGAAACTCCAACGTACATAAAGGTTGAGGACATTCTAAGCTAACAACAAGGTTCAGATGGTGCGGGCACTCGACTGGGGAAAGGAGCTCTCAACTGATTAGCACTACACAGTTTAGCAATGTGCAATCGCAAATGCAGCCGCGAAACACGAATACAGATAAAAACACGGAAAAAATGACGTACAACTGAGCGTCCAGACATGCAGAGGGCTCATATCCGGACAGATAATTAGGGAACACTGACAATAACAAACCCAAACATCCCCATAATTGAAAACGGACTTAAACCCTCGTAACACCCAATGAACAAAGATTCAGGATTCCATGCGGTAGCCACAGGAGCCATAATAAGAGCTCTGAGACGAATTTGTCGCAGTTCACCGTGTAGGTTAGTTGGTAACCTACAGCTATACTCAGATGGTAATTGATAACGCCAGTGATTTAATTATAAGACAATGCGGGCTCGTCTTTAATCTTCTTGTAGATACCCCCCGTAACTTGTGAAGATAATCGCTGATGCAGTTGAGCAACATCTCAAGCATGTTTAAAGGCTGAGAAAATGAGCATAGAAATTTATTGCTGCTAGCAATGAGACTAGCAAATATGATATCCTAAGCAGACGAAAAGAAACCTTGCCTTCAGAGGGCGCTTAGTAACCCCAATGGAGATCCAACGTCGAACTGTACACATGCTGCTGAACAGTGACATCCAATCAAGTAGACTGCCTGCCGAGGGCAATACATACACCATAAATGCCTTGAGTTATAGATTCAGTGAGCATTGAACAACACCAGTTCACAGAATCTATGTGCCACCTCTAACCAGATCTAGCTTACTAAATGTTAGGTCAGACCAAAGTCAAATGCGCACAGAAACGAAACAAATGGACTTGTTCCGGAAGGTAAGTGCGCAATTTCCCCAAGTAACCATGTGCATTGTATCAGAATAGTCTCAGTTACAAGCAGACTAGAGCTTTACTGTGTTGCAAAGCATTTGTTACTACCGCTTGTTTTATACCACTCACAGGTCCCGTGATTTTTTGAGATCGATAAATTCAAACTAGCACACAGCCGTGAGTTAAACTGTACTCGGTGTGTTTTCGTTCTCACGTCGGCCCGTTCTGTGTCTCACAAATATACTTCTCGCCCGGTGGGTTGTCTTTTGACTCGCGTGGCGCAATCTAAGAAGCTGCTAAGTCGAACCCCTGAGGACATAACACTAAAGTAAGCCCCACTATTCAGCAATGAGAACAAATCCCGAAAAATTGGGAATGGGTGATTATTGGGATCCATTAGGTTTAATGACCAAAACGACAGGGGCGATCCATATGGAATACAGGATCGATTGTACGACTTTAATTTGCCAAAAGCGCTTGGGATCCTAATTTACAAGCGGCAGGGGCGCAGAGAATACCGGTAATTTTGGGATCAGATCAGGTTTGCTGCCAAGCCGGAGTTGAAGCACAGATCGAGTGCATATGTAAATAATCCTAATTTATCCCTGTACACATTGGACGTTGACGAGTGACTTATGGACTAGGTTCCAAAGTGAGACAAGGGACCACGGGCGGAGAAAATCAGTAATTTCAGAGTCAGCTAAGTTGTAGGAATTCGAGGTCAGGATTGGAAACGTAGTGACTAACTTCAACCGTACTCCAGCTAAGGGACCCTGAGCAGTACGGTAGTCCAACTGCACCACAAGCCCCTGTGACCATCTGCCTGGAAAACTGAAGTATGGAGTCGCCAAGAACCTCTTCTAGACTAACGTAGTGCCAAAGGCTATGTAGAATCGGAGTCTATCAGGACGGTTATTGATCTGGTTCAGGACACATTTCCATTTATTGGTTGCACTGAATTGGTAGGAGGTTAGGGTGTGATCAGTGCGCATCAATCAGAGTAAACATATAATTCGAACGGACAAATACAAGGCCGATTTAGGGCAAATCTGACGGATTCGTGATCGTCTATTTACGCAACTGCGCTAATTGACTCACGGTCGGGTATAGTACGAGGAGTTTCTTGTCACTGAAGTGAGCGACTCCGAATTTAATCGGAAAAGGCGATTCTGGACATCTGAATAAGTCATTTGGTATGCAAACAACCGCGCATCGCTCCAATAAAGGGTATTCGCGATGGAGAAGTCGGGAGGACGGAAAGCTGACCAAATCCGGATGTGAATTATGGATGCTGATAATAAGCACAGACCTCACGGAGTCAACCATTCGCGACAGGCTCCAGACTGATCATAGAGGAGACAATGGCGAAGATTGTCACACGGTCGCGATTGATCAGAACGCAAAAAGTGAAAAAGGTATCGTGATCGCCATTTATCCAATGATAAAAAGATTATGGACCCGATCAGTGATAGATATTTGTTCTTTCTACACGGGAGTGAATGTTAAGTTTCTGCTACAGATGAACTGTTGTCCTTGCCTTCCGTGTAGTGACTTGCGTTATCGTGGGGACGCGAATTGTGACAACCGGATACAGCGAAGTGTGATATTTGGACTATAATTGGTTATTCGAATAAAACCGTAAAACGAAGACTGTCAGATGTTAACATTACGTATTTTCTCATTAGTCCCAGAACAATAACATGAAAATATACAAAACGACAGATAGAATGGGACCGATACAAGTTAGGACAGGGTGGAGGACATCCCTATATCCAGAGCAGACTAAGACCTACGAACAGCTGTTTCTGCACACAGAGTGCGAATTTGATCCAGTTGATCGCGACGCTGTCGGTAGAACGAGGCTTAATGGAGATGCTCCAGAGATAAATAAAGGAACGTCTAATGTTGATCGCCCTCAACTCAGCATTTCATGAGCATTATCGTTTTTATATGGACTCTTCACGTAGAGATGGCTGGAACTTGCAATGGTACACGGTACGCAGTAGTTCAAGAAAACTCTTCAGTTAGGACGCGGTCCAAGTAATCAGTGACAGACGTTTGCTTTGGAGCGAATTGTGACACAAATGGAGACTGTACCTCAACATCTGACCACACAACGAGTACTCCGAAACGCAAAATATGAATGCGTAATCGTGCCAAGCGCTACTCAGGGATCGCAATGGTTTAGTGAACAAGGTGTCAGTTACAAAACACCCCCATCTGCGGCTGCATCTGTCTGAAGAGTTCGGATGGGGACGAAGTCGGTCTTGTAGTGAAGTTTGGGGAGCGAACAGCACCGAAACATTCCCCCTCCGGGTGCAGTCCAGGTGATCGGAATGAAAAAAATTTACTTTAAAGTAAATGGTGATACAACATGGGATTGCGCGTCACAAGAATGAATAGAAGGTGTGTGGGCCGGCAAATTAGAGAAGAATGTCGGAAAGGAGTCCATTGGAGAGTGGCATAGGACACTTTGAGACCTCAAGGTTTCAAGTAGCGGAAGCACAAGCGAACGTTAGAAGGAAATGGTGCAAGATTCCAGTAGCAAACCGGGAAGCCATGTACCTGGTTAGAAAGGTGGCAGAGACCTCGTTGCTATTTTATTCTGTCCCTATAGTAAACTCAAATATTTGTATCCTCAGCTGCCAGATGGTAATGAGTCGGCCGGTGGCCGAGTGGTCTGCACGTTTGGTTTGCAACCATAAGATGACCGGTTCGAATTCGCGTAGGGGTGGGCGTCCTCGCGGTATACTCAGCCCGCACGCGACTGGTGGTGGTCGCGCGGCAGCGAAGCACCGTTACGGCGCACAGCTGACACATTATTTATTACTGTTTAGATGGTAATGATGAGTCTTAAGTTCGTTGAGCCTTAATGGGTTGTACACCAGGCGCTAAACAAGTGGTCGAAAACAGCTTCTATGGTTCCTGGTAGAGGAACTCTCATTTGAACCGAAAATGCTAATGCCACGTGAGAAAAGGTGTGTTTGTTATAGGTGTAGTGATTAAGAAACCATCCAGTCACAGCCATATGGCTGAAGCGCACCAGACCACATACTGGAAACTTACCAAACACTTCTCCGTTTGGAAGGTACTCCATTACGAGACATAACAGTCTTGGTGTCTCCATGACCTGTTGCGAGAGCAATAATCCGGTAAGGGATATAAATGGAAGGTACCTGAAACAGCTTAACAATATGCGGGTGGTGAAGCTTCTTCAGAATTTCCGCTTCTCTATTGATTTTGTGTAAATTCTCGGCATCAAGGCGTGTTTTGTCGATAATCTTTATGGCCAGCTAAAGTTAATATTCAAATATGTAATTAAGAAGAGGAACTCACCTGGAGTCCTGTAATAGTGTGCGTGGCCAATTTGACCAAAGAGAAAATTCCTTTACCAATAGTTCGGTCTATTTCGTAAGTACCTAATTTCGGCTTGGTCTTGAGAGGGTAAGTGGGAATGTTGCGGTCCATGGTAGGATGTAATATGCAAAGAGCTAGAACAAGTTCGCGCATCAGTGCCGTCAGAATGAAGAAGATTGAAGCCCGCACGAGTCACGGATTCCAAGACGCCGGTCATCCAGTAAACTGAAACGATATACTGAATCAAGGCGCAGAACAGATCTGATGTGGTTTCATAATTCATTGACACACCATATTCCGCATCTATGGAGTTCAGTACGATGCCATAGTATGGAAACGCTGAAAAACGGGTAATGCAAAAAGCACAAAATCGAAGAATAGGGTGATCATGACCGTAAGGCAAACTGGATAGGATGGCCTATCGGAAGCGTTTCGAAAGAGAACCTGAAGACTAATCGACCCGCCATGGAGTAGTTGTGGGCTTGTAGTGGACCCATTCATTACCAATGTCGACAAACGAAATGGGACACAATGTGGACAGATGAGATGAAGCGTAGAAAGACAGGGTCAAAAATAGCTATTCAAAGAGTATCGGGAGGTGGTGGTCAACAAGGTTAAGAATAATGCGATTCACATGCACAGATAACTGGAGAGTAGTTAACAAGCAGGGACGGAGGGTTCAAAGTTAACCAATGCGTTCCTCCTAGTTCCCTTACAGTAGGCGATTCCGATGCAGATTCAAGCATTCGACATGAGCAAACGCGATGAGGCGGAAGCCGAAACGATGTGCACCATGTCACGGTCATCACAATGAAGGCGCAGGATTTCTATACAAAGTGCGGTCTCTTGTTGAACATGTACTCAGCTGGGCGATAGCCATGGTAGATACAGTTATCTGCCTGACAGAGATCTTACGAGCTGGACAGTCATAAAACAGATGCGCATCGACGGTCTACACAACATAAATAGTGACCTATTCCGGCCATGCTCAGAGCAATAAAGTGTGATGGATCCAGTTGCAGTGACACATTCCCATACCAACACCAGTTAATCATGATCAGAAAAATAAAGTCAAACGCAGGCAAAATATAGAAAAAAAGAATCCGAAAGGTAAGATTATTGGGATTGGAATGTTAACAAATAGATACAACAGATCAAATGTGGGAGAACCACTGACACCGTGACCACACCATGCGGAATACTCATTCCAATCACTATAGTGTGATTGATCCACAGGGCGGCGTTCACAAAGACATGCGCTAATTCAAGGAAATCTCTGTCGATCGTTGCACGTCTCTCTACCACGTCATCAACTTGCCATAGTGCAATTTCGGCCAATCAATTGCATTGACAGTGAACAATTCCGACCTAGGTACGAGGTTAGTAGGCATGCAAAAGACAATATCTAGTCAACTCAGATCAGCAGATGTTTCAGTGAAGTGACTCCTCAAATGGCGAGTTCAGTGTTATTCACTCGGTGCTCTCGCCAGAAGTCGGTCGTAGTTCATGAGCAGTGAGGATCAGAGAAAAGCACTTCATCAGTGCATTCAACACAAAGTATACATGTCCCCTGGCTATCACAAAGTTGCCCGGTGGCTGTCGAAATTCTTAGACCCCATCCGCAGTCTTGAGTACGCAATGCCTGAAAGATTACATCGAACTAGCGGAGAGACTGGAACAACCCTCAATGGGTTTGGAGTTCATGTACTAAATAGATGTGGACCTCGTTCACAAAGCGCCCCTTCGGGATACAATCGATGATTTGTATCATTTTATCCTGCGCGAAAGTATGTCTGTTGGCCTCCCTTTGGAGTATTTGAGGGATATGATTGGAGTGTTCAGAAAACGCATATGTTGAGTTTGAGGAAACGGCACAGAAACAGATTGATGGCGTCGCCATGTGCAGTCCTCTGGTATCAGTTTTGGCAGGTATGTTAATTTGTTTGATCGAAAGACAAGTTACCCCAAAAAATATTGATGCGAGGTTGTATATATGGCATGTGGATGGCATTCTGATCTTTACCAATGGCAGATGTTTTACGCGGATGGTATGTATATGTATATATAATCGTGTCTGTTCCATTTATATTGCATTTGCTACAGTTGAGAAAAAGGTTGACATATCACAACCTGTATTCTCTCTGATTTGACAAAATGGATGAAGGTGGCTCACTGATGTACATTGCTTATGTTTGTCAACTGGTCACAGGAGGGAAGTTTTACTAGATGAAGCCGGATGGACTCAGGCATAAGTGTAAAAAGACCGTAGTTAGGAAATTCAAGTGCTACCAATTAATCGTGAAGAACTCAGGAGATAGATTCTCACAGACCTTTACTGTTAAATGTGACTAAGTAATTCGACCCACATCCATCCATGAACCGCTAAGGCATGACGTAAGCGGACACTTGAGATGGAATATAGTTGGAATAAGATAACCTATGATGATGATCACGATAAAAAGATGGCACTCACGGCACGTAGTTCGGTTCGTCTTAAAGACGAGAAGGATGGCTGAAAACTTTGTCGGAGGGTTACTTCCGTTTTACCAGTGCCGAATGAAGTAGCTATAAGTTATCCGTGAGTCGCAATTACCGTCCACCAACTATAAGTATGGTTGGCGGCATCCGAATACGGATTTGCCTGTCACTGCGGCCTCCATGGGGACAGTCACAGTACGCCTGCGCCTAAAGAGGGACCATAGGTGGCTTGCGCAGTACCACCCACACACCCCATATCCAGTGAAAACTCGAAGGAATAAGGCCGGGAGGCATGCGGATGGGAGCCACATTTCATTAACGGAGCCGGCCCACACCCCTTCAACATGTACATCGGCAACATTCCAGTCACTCTAATAGGGGAATCACGCGTGCCAGACGTACACAAGGCGGTGGTTGAGCCGTAGCCCGTTCCACAATGGATACATGGAACCACTCTTTAGGCTTGGTATCGTCACGAGGACAGTGCATCCCGTTCTACCAGATCGTTTTGCGGGATTTTGAAGCCAGTATAGACGAGGTTGAGGGTAATGGATAGGTATGCAAAATGCCAGCACTCTCATCAAACGCAACCACACAGCAGACATCAAGCACCACTGAACATCTGAAATGAAATAAACGCAACACGCAGGCGCACGTACAGATCAACTGCAGTGGTGATGCAGCACACGTGCGACATCAGACGTCTTATTGGTCTGGGTTAGTAAAGCGAATGGAAGTGGACGCAGCGTACTTACGAATGCTGTGCTGATGCGGATTAGACAAACAGCTGACTCGTCATCTTTTGAATGCTCGCCCCGCGTGGCAACGCTGGTAGCTCACCAGATCCGCTTGAATCGGGTAGTCCCGATCATGTGTTACAGCACAGTGCGCTTGAGGTCGATGGGCTATCCACCATCAGCTGTACGCCGTAACGGCGCTTCGCTGCTGCGTGACCACCACCAGTCGCGCGCGGGCTGAGTATACCGCGAGGACGCCCACCCCTACGCGGATTCCAACCGGTGACCTTATGGTTGCAAAGCAAACGTGCAGACCACTCGGTCACCGGCCACCGGCCACCATTGATGCCTGTCGTTTTCGTACCAGGTGTTTCTTCTCAGCATGTAGCAGTGATTTCTCATGCACCGGTACAACTGTTCTCTTGATATGCTCTCGCTATCCGCGACGATCCACTTCCTTTGAGTCCCAACACCTAAAATCAACATTAGTTTGTGATAAACTCCCCTCGGTCATGTCCTGGTAACGTAACTTCGGTTTTCCCAAGTGCCATTTCCCTGCCATAAGTAGTCCATATAGCAGCTGCTTGGGTATCAGCGTCGAATCCATGAGGGGTAATACACACAGCCACCTCAGGTGCTGCAGCAGAAGTCTGCCATCCACTACATACATGTAACTGCGGCGCAGCACTCCCATGTCCGCAAATCGGTCAACTCAGCCGATGCGTAGTATCCGTTGCAGACACCGTTGATGAAATTTCTCCAGATACCTTGCATCTCTGTGGTACATCGTGCAAGTTTCGCCGCCGTATAGAAGAACGGACAGCATCACAGACTTGTATACCAGCAGCTTCGTTCCAACGACAAGCTGATGGCTGTTCTACACACATTTCTCCAGTTTGCTAAATGCAGCAGCCGCCTTTGATACGCGGATGCGCAGCTCGCTCATTACCTGCAGGTCGGTTGATATTACGCCCCCAATGTTGCAGCAATCTGGATTTGAGGCAGGCTCACGGATTTCATTTCCAGTGAGGAATGGAAACGGCAACCAGCCTTGCATGTGTTGATAGTGAGCCAGAATTTGGACGGTCGAAGCGATAGCCCAGATCATGTGCTGCAGCTCATCCGCGCTGTGTGCAAACAATGCACAGTTATCAACAGACAGCAACATACTGATGGGTGTCTCACATCCTAGGGTTCTCGCCACGAAACCACGGATGTTCAGTGACACACCAACAACACGGTGCTCGACACGAACACCGTAGTCACAAGCAGCATAAAAAGCGCGAGATATTTTCGCATTTAGGTAAATATTAAGCAGGATAAGGAGTAGGACACAGCCTTGGTTTAGACCGGAAACAACTGCAAAGTTGTCCGACGTTTGTCTACAGTGCTGCACCCTCGCCCGCATACCATGGTGCAGACACGCAATTAAATCTACAAACTTACTAGGGCAACCAAACCTAGTCAACACTAGCCAAAGTGCCTCGCGGTTCACCGTGTCAAATTCCTTAGTGAAAGCCACAAAGAGTACAATGGATGGTGTCAATTTGAATTTATCCTGCAATTGACGAACCATGAACACTATATCTAAGGTGCTGTGGCCCGGACGAAATCCGCAGTGCTCTTCCGTCACGTGCAGTTCAATGACCAGGGCGAAGGGGCGGTTGAGCAGGATTCGGGCTATCAGTTTCCCAACACAACTTAGCAAGATGATGTCACGATAATTCGCGCAGCATTGCTTGTTCCCTTTTCCCACGTACAGTGGCATCCTCCAGCTCAGACGGCAACTTTTTTCAAACCACACGCGTTGCACCAAGTGGTGCAGTGCATTTATCAACGCGAGTCCGCCGTGTTTAACCACATATGACGGGATCACGCCGGTACCGGCGACCTAGCCGTTTTACAGCTGAGAAAGTGCTCCCTGCGTCTTATCCGGTG